TCAGTAAATATTTCTCCGCATTATCAGAAACATAATATAGACCATACTACAGATGGTACATAGTAGCCTGAAGAAGATTCAGTTGATGCAGTATATACTTCAATCGTTTTACTAATCGACCACACCCAGTTCAAGAAATCGAATACATGTTTAACTATCATTTCTTTCGACTAATAGTTGTCTTTAATATTTTCGCTTGTTTTATCGGAGAACAGATTTGGCCTTTTTAAATCAGGGTTGGCGTCACAGCTAATAGGTTGGAGATCATTGAAACGAAGTCGTCCAGAGAAGGCGATTCCGAGTGAGTACAATTTCCAACTTATTCCAACATATCAGTTAGAACAGAAAGCTAAATAATAAAATTCGGGGATAGCTGTTCATCTAAACCTACTATGTTATGAAAATCAGTTGACGACGGAATATACACCGTTTTTCCAAGGTTTATCCTACCGTTCGTTTTGTAAAATCAAGTAATTACAATATATCTAACGGTGACGCTGATTTATTCATTCGGACGTCGAAAAAAAATGTCTGTTGCCTCCATTGAAAAACACATGTCGATTCATAATCACAATACCAAGCATGCCAAGCTGAACGCCTCCAACCTGTATTTACCAGTAAATTATTCAGATCCTTCAGATATATGGCGGCTACTAAGCAAATCTTCTTGGCTTCTTTAGAGATGCAGACACTTTATATATTTTCAAACATTGGTATTCTAAACATGTTAAATTTGTATCTGCGTATTTCCTACGTTGCTATTATTTCTATTACATGTTTTGTATATTTGTTTTATTTATATTATATCTGTATTGTATTGTATTCTATTTTTCAAGGCTGGTTCCTCGTGGAAATTAACTAATACTAGTAAGCCTAAAGGGGCTAGTTAATAAAATATTACAATACAATACAAGGCAATACAATACCTTGTATGAAACATTCATTCCAACATATTCTTCCATTGTACATTTAACCATGGAGGTGAAAAAGGACATGATTTAACCAAAAACAACCAAATGACTGATTAAAAAGGGCAAACTCATGCATTGTTTTTTTACAGAACTCGTACGAGACTAATGTAACGATTTAATATTTTCCGTGTTTTTCGTTGTAAACGATCACACATTTTGTGAGGGAACGTTCTTCACCCCCCCCCCCCCTACACACTGTTCTTCTTAGAATTTCCAGTGTGTATGTTTTTATATAATGGGTTGATGAGATCGCAAATAGTTAAAAAAAATATGTTTGGTCATTAATTGAATTAACTATCATAGCCATCAACCGCGTTATTTTTTTTATTTAAACGCTGTTTTCGTCTGAGGCCTAACTTATTAAAGTTGCATACAGTTAAAGGGTAAAAGACAGGCATTCATCTGATAGCAAAATAAAATTTAAAAACCTTTTAATGCGTACGTGCATTCGAACTGTTTATTGTAAGTACCAATACAACCGCTACATATGTGTGTCAGATAATTTCATTGCTTCATCGAACGGAAACTTATGATCAGACATGTGCTACAAAAACTGCGTTTTCATGTAATGGTGATCACTACTCTTGTGTACAAGTATTCATACTAAACACTGAGTTTCAGACAAAAATACAAAAAACGTTATTTGTTATCAGGTCTTTAAATGGAATACTAGTATGGCTATATAATTTATGTGTATTTGATTCATTTGT